CACTGATGATAGCTAATTGTACCATTTATGTTGCTTGTACTTTGACAGGAGAACTTGCACGTAGCAGCCAGATTTTTAAAAGATACAAAATGAGAACTAGGTCTAGAAGTGGTTTATTCCGTGCTGAAAAGAGAGGAAAGAAAACACAACTTTGGGCTGTGGAGCTTTCTTCGGGTGTGAGAAAGACAGGGCAGACAGCAAAGATTAAATAGCACAGGAAAAGCTGGGAGAGTGGAGGAGGTGGGAGCAGGGGAGAGGCAGAGAGGCTACTCAGGTGGTACGATGTGGAGAGAGGTGAAGAGAGAAGTGAAGTCATAACCTGCGTGTGAATAGAGAAGATACTAATGTACGAATTAAGACGCCTTTAGCTCTCATTTGATCCCTGCAATACCTCTATTTTTCTTCAGGGTTCTTTAACAATTCCGAATATCCATCACAGAATATCCATCATTAGGTTTATTCTGCGAACAGTATAAAAAAATTAACACCAGGTGTCAGCAAATATACTGCTCCCGACAGATTGTTTTCAAATCCTATCATCATAAACAAATTTTACGAATGATTATTCAGAAAGGACTTGGCCTACATCATAAAAGTTTGAATACAACTCTTTATATCACTACCGTCCGCTTTCATCGATGACGAATCTTAGAATCCTGCACGTTTATATCAAAACAAACAAAATTTGGTCTGCAATTTCATCCAGCTACATTTGTAACTCTAGTGGAGTTCGTTTTTAACACAGATGGTTTGTAAGATACACACATGCACCTAATATGGATAATTTAACACTGTTTTTTGTAAATGAAGTTGACAGAAAAAGACAATTCCTCAGGAGTAAAAGTCTAAAGAAGTATTAAACGCATACAATACAAATACAAATGCCTTTAGCGGCAGGTGAATGAACTGCAGTTGAAGAAAGCCGTCTTTGAAAGCAGCCCTCAAGTCACTGCCATTACCTCACATGTCTTCGGGACTCGACAGATCCGCTCTTGAAGACAGAACTTAAGGAAAACCCATTGCTTCATCTGCCTGTACTGCACTGTACAAGAGTCCATTGACGCTTGAGATTCCGGCACTCGAACGTGAGTAATCCTTCTCTAATGATGAATAAGAATGCTACACTTCAGCAGAAGACAGTTTTCAAATGAAAAAAAAAAACAATACAAAAATTAGAGATGTACAGTAGGTACCCTTCGCAATCATAGGTACCAGTTTTTGTTGCAGTCGTGTTTTGGAATGAGTTAAAAATTTAAAAGCACCCGTGGACGCAGTTGCTATTTGTAAAAAGTATGCGAAGCCAATAAGAATAAAAATAAGAAGAAGTCTGAGGCATGTTCGTGATTTGTACTGCTATCCTAATAGTTGTTTTTGGAATGGATTTCTGAGAGCAGGCTATTGTGTAGATGTGCATAGACGTTCAGACATTTTTATTCTCAGTGATTTTATTAGTATTATCGATATCAATTATCAACATCCATCGTCCTCCTCATAATCATCGTTGTCGTTATTAGTTATTATCTTTCTAAAACCAAACGTGAGCACATTGAAAGAGTGGGATTTTGGAAATTTGCAAGAGCCGCATCATTGATGTCTGTAACAGATGGCACTTGTTTACACAGAGCAACCTGACCTCTTATTTTTTTAACCCAGCCTGGAATTTATGTTTAAATTGATTTTGCTCTCCCAGCACAAGAACTACAGTGTAGGTGGGGAAAATATACCATCTGCTTAAAGCTCCAAACTGTCTGCTAATAAGCACCATATTGCCCAGAGGAGATAATTATGTAGTGTACATTAATAGGTGGTTTGTATTGCCCAGGACATTATCTCTGGACAATTGCTACTGCATGTAACTGAAAAGATAAAATCAGACTGTAACAGTTCATTTTAGATTAGGTTAGGTTTTGGGAAAACCAACAAGACCATGTCACAGATCCACTCTCTCAAGCTTTTCTTTTATAGAATTGACCCCGTCGTGTTCTGTACAGAAGCTGTTAGCACCAGTGCTACAATGTCAGCTAAATGGAGAGACCGGTGCAGTGAAAAAGGTAAATCAAGTTGAATAAGGAAAACATTTAATGAGTACTGAGTGTCCCTTTCATGGTTAATCTCCAGTTTGATTTAAAGCACTGTTTATGGTAGGAGCTGTAATGAACAATGAATGCTAAATCATGAATAATACAGCTTTGAACAACTACATGTCTGACTCCCTGTTTGACTTGTTTCTTGTACACCAATCCTCAAGGCTAGGCTGCCATTCCCTCAACAAATCTCAGCAAATATCTCTACATATTTAGTCCCTCTGTCGCATTCATTGAGATCTAACCGAACTATGAAGTTGCTAAGTTGCTATACTGTATGTATAGCTTGTTCTAATTAGCACTAGCACTCTTTGGCTCTTCATAGGAAGACACCTTCCTAGATATCTTTTTCTGATTGGAAGGGACATAATCTCTTTATTGATAAGGGTAGTGTACCAAAGAGGTAGCAGTCCAAGTTCTTCCTGATAATTGAATGAGGTTCTTTAAGGGCTTTCGGGACAAAACCTTCTGACATTTATCCAGCCTGCAAACACCTCCCTCATTTCCAGCTCTTCTGTGTTCGTGTTATCTCTAGACACCCGCAGCTGAATACACCCTACTTGGTGGCTCTTTGGAAGCCGAAAAGGTTGCAGCCACTGCCTGTGAACACCGTTGTGTGGGGTTCTGCCCTCTTGTTCCCACAGACAGGTTCCTGGCGAACGCTCTGAGGAGGGAGAACCTGCAGCTGGACCGGTCCATCCGCTGCTTGAACCTGCAGTACCAGAGGGAGATGGCCAGCATGAGTGGGGCACAGCAGGAGCTGCGGAGGGCGCTGGACCGGCTGAGCACCCGGCAGGAGGGGCGGGCGCTGGGGAGGAAGGCCGGGGCCTGCGCGGCCCAAGACAGGAAGTCAGAGCAGAGGAAGCATGAGCGCTACTGTCCCAACCACATTGTGTGCTCTAAATGCAACCTAAGAATGAGGCTGGCAGACAGCATCACCAGGCAGTTTACCCCCAGGCTGTGGACCATGTACTGCCACAGCCCGTGTGGCTCTGCGGATGATTCCCTTACTGACACAAGACTCTACAGGATACCAACCTTCTTGATGCACAGGAACTTGTCTGCCTCTGACAATTCCCTGCGCTACCTGCCCTTTATATCTTTATAAAAACCCCACAGAAAACAACACATAGCCTGTTGCCACACAAAGGGAAGCAACTCATCTCCTCCTTGGTCCTCAGACGAATTCATACTGTGTTGTCAGTGTCACCTCAAACATAAGAAGGTTTTTTTTTTCTTTACCCAAAGGAGAGTGGGCCATTCGGCCCATATAGCTCATTGATACAGCTGTTTCCTGAAACGGCAGTTATTTGCTTGGAATCAAAAGCACACCAGAAGCAATACATGAAACGCCTTTTACTAAACAGTTAGAGGAGTGTTCAGTTATGGCACTGGTGTGATCAGTTGACATTTTAATCGGGCTCCCATTTTGGTATCGTTGCAATGTGGAAGTGCTTAAGAGTATAGATGTTTACAACCTCAGTGTTGCCCGTTGTTATTAGACTGTAGTGCCGTATGTGGCCCGGTTTAAATACAAAAGACTGTACATGATACTTAAAAAGAGTCATATTTGAAGGTGTTATACACAGAGTGACTGATGCATTAACGCCGTTTCAGACAGCTTGTTCTGTAGTTTATTTCTCAGGGGATCTCAGAGGAGTGTTTTCCATTCAACTTGTTACATCAGCCCTGCCGTATTCAGGAAATCCAGAATCCAGAAATCCACTCGCCACACAGAATCGAAAGTTGTTTATTGCAGTTTGCCTTTTTATATGCCACTTTCACAGAGATGAAAGGACTACAATAGGCAACAGCCAGCGGCTGACATTCTCTGTTGACCCCTGCAAGGCTGTCAGGGATACCATTGTTGTGTGCGGACAGCTGTCGAGAAAGAGTGCAGTTTTGTGGAGTTCTTTTTTCTGTTTAACTGGTTGTGATCCTGCAGACTGTTCTGAGGTGCCTGAGGAATGCAGAGGGAAGCAAGAGATGGAAAATATGGGCATATGATTTGTTGTGTTCATTGTTTGGCAGTCACACAAAAAGTTGGAATAAATGATTGATCTTTTTATTATAGAAACATCGATGATGTCCTTTCTTAGCCTCAAAAGCTTCTAATCTCATCATGAGCTTTGTGCTCAAGGCCCCACATGTGACAGAGGTGCACCCTGATCTTCTTCTGTAACACGTTGTTAATCAGCATACAGATGCAGAGCAATCTCTTCTCATCCTGTGTCAGAGGAGCCCTCACCAAAAGCACGACATACAGTTGGAAATGCCAGGAATATCTCTGACCCACTGCTTTAATCCGGTGTGAAACAATGACCCCCTAAATTGAAAACTGTGCTTGCCTTCCAGGCTGCAAAAAGGTGATGCAGAACATAAACTGTTAAGTTGGTATTTGTACTTTAGTCACGTTTCATGAACTGGGGACCATCGAGATTGATCTGAAGTTTACTTCTTTTCAGACAATTTAAAGTTAAAAACATGTGGTGCACTGAAACCACAAATGTTGCTGAATAACATTAAGCCATTTCTTCGGTTACTGCAAAACTCTGAGCCTGAAGAAACTGCAGTTATTTTATTTTCTGTACACAAATTTCATTGAGCGACAAAACTAAAACATGTAAATGTTAGATTTTCTCAAGCAGCCACAACCCTGATATTTACACCATACATGTTTATATACAATTTCTAATGCTCGACGTTCAAAAGCTAAAAAAAATACACATATAAAATTCTAAAACCCAAGACTGCTTAAAATCCCATGCAGTTATTTCCGACGGATGTACGCATGTCATTTGTGCAACAGCAGAAATTAAGACATTCTAAAAAGAACAAGTAAAAATATTCCAAGGGTCACAAACTAAACTAAAGATTAACACACAAAAAATTAAACTAAATGAGGAACACAGAACAGGCAAGTGAACTCATTTATTTCAGGTTAAACAGGCATAACATGCCTAATTAAATCTACTAATATATAAGCTTCATGCTTACAATTCTATGTTTAGTCAACTTAGTCCAGCTCCTGCAATGTCCAGTCCAGCAAACTGACAGATATCACAGAGGAAGGCTTAAGATCATCACCTTAATTACCTCTTCAAATAATACATCTCTTAAAAATATGACATAGAAGTTTTGACATATTTGACATAGAAATGGTAGAACACTTAGAAGAAAAGAATGATTGATAAATGACGGTTTTACCTATTTGCATGGAGGGTGTAAGTACTGATATAAATCATCAACGTTAATCAACATTTCACTTATAGTCAACATTTTATTGCCAATGGGACACGTTTCTGTTGTTATATAATCCAGACAAAAAAAACCCCAACATAAATGGGGTTAAAACGAAATGGCAAGGATGTGGCTACTGAAAAGCTCTGTAGACTTGCGATCTGTTGCCTGTACAAAAAAAATAGAAAGTGACAGAGCTGTGCATAACTCAACTATACCTATTTGTACCTATTTGTTCTCACCTATATTTTTTTAAAAACTGTGCAATCTGCAGAAACCTTTGAGAAAGATGAACAAATAGTACAGCTGGATCATCCAGGAGGATGCTGCACATTGGTGGTGGTGGAGGGGAGTCCCCATTACCTGTAAAGCGCTTTGAGTAGAGTGTCCAGAAAAGCGCTATATAAGTGTAAGCAATTATTATTATTATTATTACAGCTGGCGCAGGGGAAGGCATGCGGAAAATATATACATTTCTTAATTCCTTTGTCTTCTGGTGCCTTGCACACAGAGGGACCCCACAAACAACCAGCAGGGTCCCACATTCCTCCAGCAAGGAACATGTAGAACTGAGTCAGGAATTCTGTGGGAAGATCCTGTAGGATTTCTTCCACTGGAAAAATATCACCACAGGATAGTAGGTTCATGTTGATATGACGATTCTCAATTCTCAGCATTAAATACAACAATATCAGCAGCTGTTCGTTGATCCTGATCCCAATCTAATTCAGCTTTAACACCACAGAGCCGCCTGTGTCTGGCCACTGGACAAAGGGACAGTGCAGTGCAAGGACACAGAGAAAACATTAGTTGTACACCTGGCAACTGCCTTAGATCACAAAATAAAAAAATATATTTTCCTAAGTCTACTTTTTAAATTTTTCTCATTAAAATGCACAGCACAGTGAAGCCTCAAAAGACCATGCTCTCTGTTTTTTAAGTGGATACAATAAACCAGATCAAAACAGGAAAGCAATCACTCTGATATGTCAGGGCTGAATGCAGAGACGAGCTCCAGAAAAAGACCTTATTATCGTTAGGATTTAGACTTACAGTAAGACACATACTTCTGATTTTTTTAAAACAATTTTATATTATTGCTGCCTGTAAATCAGCCAAGATGCATGTTTTTGCTGTACTTAAATAGGCAGTATGAATAGTAGCACTGAGATTAAGTATAGTAGTTTAAAAAACATATGGAAGTGCCTTGGGCTTGACTGTTATGAAACAAAAAATAATATATTAATTTATATTCGTATATTTTATATTCATACCTGGGAATATTAATCATAGAAGAATCAACACAATTAACAGATCAATGTCACTTAAAAACCAAACACTTAAAAAAACGGCAGACATAATACAGTATGTCAGTTGACACCCTCCTCTTATTGATTTTATTTTCGTTTTAAAAAAAGAACTGATAGTCTCTGTCCTTAGATTAAATCTGTTTCAGAAAACAGGCTTTCCCTTTGCAAAATAATTGTTTTGGTAATCTGGAACATGACTAAAAACAATCAATTTCCAATTCAAATACTACAGTACACATTAAAATGAAAATGTACTTTAGTAGGCATTTGGTAGGCATTGTAAACTCCTGTTTTTTACTTTGCTATAGGTGAAAAGCACATACTGTACCAAGACATATAGACGGTCCATATTTTTTTATAAAAGCATAAAGATGCATCACTTTAAAAAAATAGCCTCAATATAGTAAAGGGAAAATAACTCTCTCGGACTTCCATTGACTCTGTACACATTGTAGTTCCAAAATAAAAAAAAACGAGTTTCAGAACGGCACCAAAATGAATAACTCACAACCTCAGAATGACCTATAGACTCACCAGCAAAGCACAACAAAGCACAACAAAGTATATTAAGGGGACCTGATACAAGACACATTCTGGGTAGGAAAATAAGCAAATATTGTTTCAGTGTTGAAGATCTGTTCTAAATATTCTGTACTTAAAAACTGTGCATAACTGCAACAGTACCTGTGAATATTCTTTTGGAAATAAGAAGACCGCTTCACAAAAATGGCTTAAATAAAATGTACTGTAATGTTTGATTGTATAAAGTGCCTTAAATCCAGTTTCAATTGCAGTCTAGACCGTAGACATTATTCACTCAGTGGGCCATTTTACAGCCAGCAATATTTAGTAAAACTAGTTTTCTCAGCTGTGTTGTTCGGTCCCTTTAACCCAATTTAATACTACATAATGTTTCAGACCTATTACCAGCAATATTCAGTCAACAGAAAGCATTTCTCCTATGATTTAGCATTCATATGGCTGCATTAAACACATGTAAAAAACATAAACAAAAAAGAAACAAAACATAAACAGACATACCTGTAACATGCATCTTGGTTTCATAGCAGTCGTACACTTAGAACAATAACATCTGTACAGCTATATCCAATGAAAGCAATACAATACAGACGCAATAATGTGATATATACAGTAGTTTACAGGAAGAGTAATCATTAACCTTCAATTTCTGATTTACATAAAATATTTACACTTTCATTCCATCAGATGGCATCTCATATTTCTGAGGATTCTTCATATTGTAGTTATTTGCCTGTGGGTGTTTTGGAGTTATTTGTTTATTTTTCTGACTATATAGTGGATAGTGGTTTGTTACAGAAAACCTGCCTGGTGTCTACAGATGGAAACGAGTCCATGATCAAACCAAAAGACCGAGCTTTCAGATCAGCAGAAGTCACATAAATTACTAACTATGATCCTCTGTTCTGTGACAACCAATATAATGGACAAAAACAGGAAACAAGCAAACGTTTTAATCTCCCAAGTTACATATAACAGGTATTCCACGGTCTGAGGTATTTGCATAATTCTGGTATTCTGATATATATGAAAGCAATGAATATGACGTATTTTCCATTTAATCTATAATACGCAACATGACAGATCCTATTGGAATACATCACACATATACCTCAGTATGTCCAGGCATGATTTGTAGTTGAACCGGTCACAAAGTTTGGCAAGACTGTGCAGTAGAAAGATAATAGAAGCTGACTATACCAGATAACAAATAACATTCGTCCTAGTTGTGGTAAAATGCACTCCGTACTTTTTTTTATTAACTTGTGTCTTCTTCGATCAGCCTCAGTTACATCTGTACGTTTGCATGTATCTGTACAAAAATCATTCTGGCTTGCCAATGCATTTGAAAAGAATTCTAGCTTGGAGTGAGTGGGGGGAGGATTGTTATTCATTGGAACTGTGAGCAGCCACTAATAACTGGTATCTAGTTAGGGCCATATTGAGGAGTGCCTGGTACAGCATTAGGCACCATTATTAGCATTAGGTGGCATTAGATGCTGGAAATAAAACAGCTTCAATTCTAGGCAGCACGATGACAAGTCAACGAAAAAGCTCCTCAGGGACTGTGGACATTATTAGGAAAAATGAGCTTTCCAAACAATGTATCTAACTTTCACTGTGCAGTAAGAGATACCAGAGCACAGCTAACAACTCATTGGGATTCAAGCTGGTATGTCTGCAGCTTCTGTTTAACAGCATTCCCTACCTTTTAAGATTGCATCTGACTAGGGTTTGGCAAAACCTCTTGTTAGCACCTCCCGTGTAAAGAGGCATTCAGCTTGAGACACAAATGTCAGATTCCAAGAAACTGTGCTCTGGTCAGCTTAAGGGTTAGTGTATTTAAGGGAGATGTTTTTACTGTTTTCCCACTTTACAACCAAGATACAACCGGAATTTAAAAAAATACTTTCTGTAGCACAGATGAGTTATGAAAATAGCACACAGCACACATGGGTTTAAGCTAGTGCTACATCTGTCTTATTGTAAGCAACTTGCTAGAGTACACTATAAGCAGCTCACTATGCTTTGGAACAAGGGCATCATCTTCTGTAATTGTAAGATGACATAAATGAAGCAACAGCCAATGCAGTGTTCTGCTGAATTCAGCTGTCCATAATGAAAAACTAAATGGTTCAGAATTCTTAGTACAAATGATTTCAGTGGCTGCAGTATGATTCACAGGGAATGCTCTTTGCATTAAGTTGCTGACACCTTCAGGATAGTCAGCAGAACTACAAGTGTATAAATGGCAAACATATAAAAAGTCCATTAATCCATTGAATGCTCCCTGCATGGTTAGAGAAATTATAAGTCCATCCATCCAATCTTATTTGATTCAAAGCTCTTCTTTCCTGGTTAGTAAAGTATGTACATTTATGTCATTGCTTTAAAACACTTGATTAACATCAATCAATACCAGTAATGCATATTATTTGGCTTTATCCAAAATGGTATGATGTAATGGAAAATGAAGATGAAAGATTAAAAAAAAAAACATTGACTCATGAGGACACAGAGTTTCAAAGTCCAGCAACAGTATTCATAAACCATGGCCTGCTCTCGGGAAACAGAGCAAGACACGTCCTGTTCCGTTGAAGAGCTGGGAATGAACGAGTGATTTACACGTCTACTGCAGGCTACGGGGATATCCAAGGCATTCCAAGCAAGCCAGACAAGGACTGTGTGTAATACAGACTGCAGGCGCTCTGGTAGGTTTGACTGTTTCACACGACGGAGCCCTTGGAAGAGGAGAGGTGGATGGAATGGATCCGGACCCCCAGGGTCTTCTCCAGGTCATGCAGCACGTCAGAGCTAGAACTGTCCGCAGGCTTGTCGTACAGCAGCTGCTTGAAGGCTTCGTTCTCGATCAGGACCACCATGTTTTTCAGGAAGTAACCCTCGATGTAGGCCGAGAGCTCCGGGGCCCCCAGGAACTGCGGGGAGGAAAGAGAATCGGAGAATCCTCAGGCCTAGGCTGTGAGGCGCTTTTCAGGCATGACGATCCAAAAATGTGGAAGGGGATTATGAAGCTTTTGATGGAAGCTGTCTAAGATGACAGCTGAGTTTGAGCTCTTGTGCTGAGAAACCTATATTAAACCTATCAAACTGCCTCATTAAGTATAATTAGTCATTAATTTACTGGCAGTATTAGTTGCTTTGTAGATGTAGAGCTGTTTCTGAAAAATTACAGAGCTGAATTATTCTAGCCGACCTACAACCAATAAGGTTAAGCTGAATTGCTCTGACGTTTTCAAGACATGAGGAGAGATTGACACTGCATCACTCCTGCTCTGTTCAAGCAAACGGAAAGAGCTTCAAACTATGAAATACTGACAAGAAGACAAACAGGTCCTGAGAGCCTGGAGGAGGCTCTGTCCTGCTGGATGGTACTCGCTGTGAGGAATGCGAGGAGATGCATGAAAGGAACTAGCAGATTAAGGTGTATGTCAGCAGCACATGTTTTTGGTGGTCATGAGTATAAGTTTTCAGGTGAATAGATAGTTCTGAACAGGTAACAAGCTACTAAATTCTCATAATAAAATAGGAACTAAACCACTGTCACCCACTACCTACTGACCATCAGCCAAGACCCGGTTATTTAATTGTTAGAACAATAGGTTCTTTGAAATCATCTTGGATCATCCCCTTCCACAACAGTGGATACAAGCAATTCCTTGTTTCTACCTTGGTGTGTTTGTAGATGTCAACACAGGTGTCTGTGTTGATGTTTTTCGAGCAAATAATCTCACAGTGACGCTGGAGAGCACTCAGCTGGAAGAATTTAGCAGCAGACAGGAGCTGTGGGGAAAAAAAAACAAAATAATGAAATGGGCAGCAGCAGTCAAGTTCACAGAGGCTGAAGGCTACTTGTTCAGTCAGTTTTTTCATTTTCATCCCATTTAATGACTGCTTATATGGAAGTGTTAATGTGATTAAATATGTCAGTCAGAGTATATTGAGACCTGTTCCTTCAACATCAGCAATAAAGTATGTATTCTATATAGTTTTTCTGATATCAAACTTGCTGTGGAACAAGAGAATAATAGACTTCACCTCCATGACCTCAGTGTTCCTGATGTGAAGCGAGTCTGTCCCTCCACAGTACAGGTACTGCATCACCAGCTGCAACAAGCAACAAGATTCTTACAACCCCATTTAAGAAGTGAAAGTACATGATGTATGTCAAAACCTCATTTTATTTCACTGTCCCACAGTTTTTACATATCACATATACATATTACATACTGGTGTGTTCATCCAGTCAAAGCCATCGTGCGCCAGTACGCTCACCCCACACCAGCTCTCAGTGTGGAGGAGAACAGAGTGATGAAGCCAATTCACAGATGGAGATTATTAGGAGGCCATGATTGGTAAGGGCAAATTGGGAAATTTGGCCAGGTTCCACCCCTACTCTTTTTGAGAAACGCCTTGGGATTTTTAATGACCACAGAGAGTCAGGACCTCGGTTTTACGTCTCATTAGAAGGATGCCCCTTTTTACAGTATAATGTCCCCGTCACTATACTGGGGCATAATGACCCACACAGACCACAGGGTGAGCGCCCCCTACTGGTCCCACTAATACATCTTCCAGCAGCAACCTTAGTTTTTCCCAGGAGGTCTCCCATCCAGGTACTGACCAGGCTCACACCTGCTGAGCTTCAGTGGGCTGCCAGTTGTGAATTGCAGGGTGATATGGCTGCTGGCTAAAACCACACATTAAGCTGTTCCATCCATACAGGAAGAACATTCACTTCCAATATCATATAAAACACCAGGCGTACACTTACAGAAATGAATTGCATTTTCTGTACTTACAACTGAAAGCATTTGATGAGTTTGACATTATACCTATACTACATTTAAAATGACAATTAAACATTTGTTTGGCAATTTTTTACATTTTATTTCAGTTTGCAGCCAAGGGTACAGCCCACTAAAATAAGAACAAATTTCGGAACCTGAGTAAACTTCGTGTTCTGTCTACAGTAACAAAACAGAACAGGGAGTTCTCTCAGAGATGCAGCGGGGCAGGAGCATGTAGTTAAGTTAATCTATGTCAAGATATCATCCAGATCCACTCTCAAAGTCACTCCAAAGAGAAGATCATACCCACAAAAACTGGTTATAATTATTTCTTAGGAATTAATAAAAACTGCCTGTACAAGTCACATTTCAACAAAAATGAAGAAGCCTGGAATCATCATTAGGAGCGTGTATCAATTCCCAGATCCAAACTCCCAGACTCCACAGATGACATTTGGTTACTTAGTAGAATTTGATGTATCACATAGAATGCCTTTAAAGGGAGGTGTTTGTATAAGATATGAATGTACTTCAGCGTGATCAGAATTTGTGATTATACAGTTTTACACTCCACTTTAACATCTGTTGCATCTATTTATATTGAAGTAGAACTAACAACAGCGATAGATCGTCCTACACAAGCTGGAGACTTGGAAAATTATTCAGTAATCACTTGAAGTTTGAAAACAAAGATGGACAATGAGCATCACTTTCATGAATAGCATTCGGCTTTCTCCCCCTTTCTTCATATCATGTCTCTGTTACCTTTGGCTAGTGTGAATCACAGAGGTGAAACTAAGATAAGCCAGATAAGCCATATTGGCCATATACAACTTCTTGTATTAGGAATTTGTCTTTTCACATACCCCAACTTGCTCTCCATGAGACACACAGACAGGGAGAGAAGCTTGGGGTCAAAGCGCAGGGTCAACCATTTATACAGTGCCCCTGGAGCAACTGGGGTTTAGGATCTTGCTCATGGGCCCAATAGAGGAGGATGCCTCTGCCGGCCACAGGATTTGAACCGGCAACCTTCCAGCCACAGGCGTAGATCCTTAGCCACAGAGCCACCACTCCGCCCTATCTTGAGCAAGATACTGTACTGAAACTGCTCTGCTAAAACACCCAGCTGTATACTGTAAATAAGTGCACACGTAAGGTGCTTTGGATAAAAGCATTTAATCTCATAAAATAATCAGAAAAACTCTCTAAGGTAAAGTATGTGGATCCCTTTTCTCATCTTCTACTGTACAGCAAATGAGTTACCAGGTTTTACTATCTGTTGTACTGATATCCTAGTCCAGGGACTCAGCTCAGTTTAGACTGTTTAAACTAGAACAGCCCTCTCCTGTGCGCCCACCTGCCCACACAGCATCAGCTTGCCCAGAAGTCTACTGCATGCTTTGTCTTCGCTCTGCCTCACCTCTCCCACAATGCTCCTCTGGATCTCAAACTCTGCTGGCTTTTCTTCTTCTCCCTGCCTGTCTGTAGTTCAACATCCTTTTTCTGGTTTTACGGCATTCTCTCCCATTCTCCTTACTCCAACCTCCATTTCATCTACCTTTTTTTTGTTCTCTCAACTCTCCCATGGTCAGTACTTACTCACTGTATTCCACGCTCTCACCCGCTGGTGGGATCAAGATATCGCTGCTCTGGAATAACTCCAGAGGTCAGCAGCCAGATGCAGTCCAGGGCTTAGTGGAATCACCTACACTAACAGGCTGAAGGAACAGAGCCTTTTTAGTTTTGAACTTAGAAGACTACGAGGGGGCCTGTTTCAAGTATTCCATAACGTCAAAAGTCACCAAACAAGTTAGCCCACTGGACTCCTTCAGACCCAACTACATGGTGAAACATGAACCACTTGACACAAGTGGAAACTAAGCTTTAAAACTTAGAACAGGAGATACACTGACTATACAAACGATTGTGGGAGCCTGGAACAAGGTACCCCGACATACTGTTGAAACTAAAGCCCTAGCTTTTTTGGAGAAATAGCTGGACGAGATCCTTAGTTAAGTTATCTACCAGCAACCACTTGATTTAGGTGGGCCAAACAGTCTCCTCTAATTTGCAACCTTTCTCATGTTCTTAACTGTCTCTCATTCTAATGCTTCCGCAGAATTGCCATGGCAGGTCTTACCAATAGACAGTACTATCTGCTCTTACTTCCCATCTGACTGTATTGCTAAATATTTGACTTATATTTAATTTAAGTATTTTATATTAGTTACTTATATAATACTATAGAGGAGGAAGAAGGCTCACCTGAAGAAGGCTCCACAGCCGAAACATTGTTTCTTTTTCTTCTCTTTTCAGCATGGAATAAACGTTTACTCATTCCTTATATATTAGTATTAGGTTTATTCCATGCTGAAAAGCGAAGAGAGAAAACACAACATTTCGGCTGTGAAGCCTTCTTCAGGTGTGAAGCCTGAATGTTGTGTTTTCTCTCTTCTGTTTTCAGCATGGAATAAACCTATTACTTGTTCCTTTGCAGAGTACGCATGCTGACGCAGCTACCCACCTGAGCTACTTATATATTAGTATTACAAACTCCTGTATTACACTCCTGTAATCCACTTTTTAACACAACATAACTCACTACACTGGGATTTGAGCTATTTTCATTACATATGTACAGTTTTTATGCTAAACCCTTGATGGTTTTCTTATATGAATAATATTAATTTTCTGTTGTTTACCTGAAATATATTGTACTTTACATGGCTGATTTCAATGCAAGTGTTCTCTGCAGTAGGTCTGTTTGAAAGCAAAGATTTAAACCTGGAAAAGAAGAACAATAAAAGAATGCAAACAAGTGCTTTATCCTCTAACACAAGTCTATTAATTTATAAATCTTTCAATAAATTACTTGTAAGCCTCCGACACCAGTAACACTAGAGCTTCTTTAATTAAACAATCATTGGTCTATCGGTATGAGTCAGCTAGAAAACTTCCCAAACTTCACCACTTCATGAAGAAATTATAGAGCACCCTCCCAATGTCAAAACAGGATATAAGCAAGGGCAATTTCTTTATTTTATAAGAAAATGTCCCGGAGTTCAACTAATAACTTTATAGATTTCCCTTCTTAATAGGCTGCTTTACAACATGCAATGCCTTAGTTACACAGAAGACCAACAGGAAGCCATGATTCCATGCTGACATAATTGTGGTCTCAACATTTCAAGTGTGCAGCCAGAAGACTTTGCAGGTAGCAATTCCCTGTCACAGGGCAGAATAAAAGCCTTGACTTTCTGACGGGAAACAGAATTTTACATTTCGAAAACTAATTTAAAAAAAGAATGACCTCATCTGCTATTAAATGTGGATCAGACACATTCCCAGCCTTAAATGAAGCACACTAATCGCTTCAGGAAAAAGTTTTCCTCAACTTCCCCGCACAGAAGTAAAACTGCCACACATCACGCAAGCTTTTGAAACCAGGGAAGCTGACTTTTTTTTTCCTGGCAAAGCGGAACCTGTCTGAACACATTAATAAAACCTACATTTGAGGCAGAAACCCTTCATGACATGGTTTCATAAAACTCGAGAGAAGCAATGGCACCAATATGTCATAGAGGTTTCACTGCAGTCACAGGGGGAATTAGAGAGCATCGAGGCTCATTCAGCTGCACTTTCCATAGAGAAGAGAGCTAGCTTTGCTTCCTAGTTAATATCACCCATCGGAGTGCCTCCAGCTCATACCTGGCAGATGCCGTGAACAGCAGGACTTTGTGCGCATAGAATGGCTTCCCTTCAACCAGGAATGTCACATCGGACATTTCTTTATTGTTCAGAAAATGAGGATCTGAAAGGACGAAGGAGACACACAGTGTTGCCTGATCATAAAGACAGATTTATTTACTAACACTTACAGTATGTAAAGTAAACATGTCAAACTACACAGAACTAATTTACATCATTGCTTCTTAATGCACTAAACCATGAGCAACACTTGCAGGCAGGATAATGCTAATTAATTTTAACTATATATCCCAAAGCTTCCCAGAACACTTCCCACACTGAGATCATGACCACAATCAACAGTACAGTTATGCACTGGGAGAATCCAGCTACCACTGGACACTGGCTTACATCACAGCTGATAGGCCACGGATATTACTTTGGCTATTCTGTTTTTAGTGTTAAACAACACTATTAAAGATGTATGGGAAACTTATATTTAGATATAATCACTCCCTGCTCACTCAACACATCTGAGGTGACAGGTTAACGACTTGCTGACAAAATCACATCTGACAGACTAAAACATCACTTCTATGTATCATCTACGGTTCCATCCCCAGATCCTTATTGTAAAGTCCTTGCGCTTTGCACAAAAACAAAGAAGAGGTACTCAGTAAAACTGTACAAAGATAAAACTGCTGATTGATATGATTCCTGGACAACAGTGTTTTCGTTACTGCATAGTAGTAAAGTTAAAAATGTCCAATCTCCAATCCTTGTCAATTACCAGAGATTACTGACTAGGTTAGAGGTTGCTTGCTCTGACTCACTTCGACACATAGAGATCCTTTCTACGATTTCAAACAGAACAAAAAGTCAAGACAGTTTAATTTTCCTAAGGAAATATGATTTTAATTACCATGTGTTTGTTTGCACTGTTTCACTGTGTCTTCTTTGCTTTGAAAATTTGAATAGTGAGCTTTGGAGAGGCTGTGCTAAATCCAGCAGGCGGTGAACCCTATTAAGTGACAGGCACTTACCTAATCGTGATGTCTGTTTCTTTTTAATCTCCGTGAGCTTCGGAATGGGATAAGGTCCATAGCACTGAGTGAAAATAACTGACAACTGCTGGCTTATCACTTCGTTCTGCGAACAAACACATTGCATAAATACAATTCCAAAATAACGTCCTCAATATGCAGATTTATAAAACGTCCAGTCGCAATCATCAATCTTCTGCGGCTTTTATATGCGCAAGTAAATGAGCAGAGAAAATATATCAGCTAGTTCTGCTATGCGGATAGAATACATTAGCATTTAAACACTCGTAAGGATTCTGATCCACACAAGAAATCCACGTCCGGTTTAAACGGCTCTCAAACGCTCAGAATTTACTGTCTGGGTTTTGATTACATAACACATCCTTCAATGTCATTCTGTTTTCTGCAGTGCCATTAGTATTTTCTTGAAGACACATCTGAGGAAGGATCTTAGGCAGTTATTCTGTATGTGCAGTAACTAGGTGAGGTTGTATATTACTAATGATTCCCCAAGGGGCTCACGACTGAAAAAGTCATTTTCTGAGTAATGGAGGTTCACTCTGTTCATTGATGTCTTTCTCATTTCATCTAGCTAAAAATAATGAGACATTTTAAACTGATTATATGCCCTGGGCATTGGTACAGTGTGCGATAAACCTGGTGTCATTGTTCGATCACATGGGAGCCTGAGGCCCTCAGCTGATTCTTGCTATTATCTAAAAGGGTATGAGCAGATAAGACCTACATCACATCGGCATTGTTTCCTAATTACTTCTGTGAATTTGCATTTGCCTTTCAACACACAGCTGAAATTTCTGATTGATTCCAGTAGAATCCCTGCTTGTTCTCTAATCTTGTGTAAAAAACCACAGGAGGAAGAGAAGCAGTGAGCTTCATCACGCTGGGCTCAGAATGGGATGTCAGGCCCAATTCTAAATGTAACACTGTTTGTCTCAGGTCCGTTTAGCAACTTTGTAAAATCTCCTGCTTAGGAAGAGTATATGACATTAGGATTTTGATGTAAACTGTGGGATGTTGGTCAGCTCACACAAGGTAACGGCTCATTTGGACATACAAAAGAATTTAATATCTAAGCTAAGACTGGAAAACGAGAATGTCTTTCAACCATTTTGGAAGCACTGCTAGTAGAAAACCTGCAATGTAAAGCGAAGATTTAGAATTTATTTAAACACCCTTTCAGAAATAAAGACTTCTTATGCTAGCACATAAATTACTTCAGGCTTTGAAGGAAATAAGGAGATACCACCTTTCAAGTAGGTGTCACAGCTAATTAAGGAATCCTCTTAAATGGTTCGGTGTGCTTTGGATGAGGTGAGAAATTGACTGTATTTTCTCTACTTTTGTAAAAAACCGCGGCACAGCATATAAGACAAGGAAAACAAAGCAGACCGATTACCTTGCTGGCTCGTAAGATCTCAAACATCAAAGGCAGGCCATGGGTAATGAGCTCCTCGGTGTACTCCTCTTCCTCGATGCAGCTGAACTCCTTCAGCAGGCCCTGGATGAGGGGGCGGCGGTGCTGGTGGAAGCAGGTGCGGAGGGACTCCAGCCAGGTGTGCAGAGTCCAGGGCACACCTGCACACACAGCAAGCACACGGCTCTCAGCCCACAGGCCCAG